ATACACAGACTCATGGGGACTCGTGTCATGGTGGGGACCTAAATTGAGGTCCCCACGGGTAAACAAGCTAATAAATCACACAGAATTAAGTTTTTTGAAAATCTAAAAATGCACAAAGTTTCCTGTAAGGGGTAGGTTTAGGTGTAGGGTTGGTGTAGGGCAATAGAATATACGGTCTGTACAGTAGAAAAACCATTACGCCTATGGAGAGTCTCCACAAGGATAGCAAACCAGACATGAGTGTGTGTGTGTGTGTGTGTGTGTGTGTGTGTTTGCGTGTGTGTGTCCTGAGTCAGCACTGTGCTCTCAGCATTAGAAAGCTCAGGAACACCAGCACACGCCACTCAAGCTGTGTCTCTTACAAACACACACAAACATACATTACAGATCTGAGCATGATTTACTGACTTCAGTCTACAAGCCTGTAAACATGCTCAGACATCCCCACCTACCTACACACTCATAAGCTGGTCCATCAGGTTATTAACACAGTGATCATAATTTACTGATGACATCACAGCACATTCTCTATGTGTATGTGTGGTTTGTTTGTGTTGGTCTTGTAGAATAGATTTATTCTACTTCTATTCTATTTTTGGTGGCTAAAATTTTAATTATTTATTTATAATCCATTAAGATTTAATGTGTTTACTTACCAATGGTAAAAGTTGAAGAATTGGTCAAAGAAAAAATATCATATTGTTTGACCACTAACTTTGACCACTATTGTTTGACTAATCTAATATTGTGGGATGTGAAAAGTGGACTTAGGGTGTGTTGGTATGCTGAAACTTTTCCTGTTCAGCCATAGAAAGTGGTGGATAGGGTTGAGGGGGTCAAAAAAAGAATAGAAATTATGAAAGAAATCATGGGATGATGGATAAGATTGAGAAGCTGGAGAAAAACAAAAAGTGGACTCTACAAATGGGAGAGATGGAAAGAGGAAGCGGACAAGATGTGTATGAAGGGCGGAAAGAGAGGGATGTAGAGCACTATAGTGTAGGTGTGTGGAGATAAAGGAGAATTAATGTGCTGCGATAGAACTACATAGAAAGCTGGAACAAAGCTACAGAGAATGTGGCAAGAGAAAGTACGATTTTTACACCAAAGGCCTTGTAGAAATTGTCAAAACCACAACCTATATCTTCTACAGCACATTTCTGGATTTTTTTTACATGTATGTTGTTAAAAATATCAAAAGTTCAAAATGAATTATTTATTTAATATTTTATGTATACATTTTAAAATTATATCTGTATAGTTACACAGTAAATAATTTAACATTTGAAATATTGGTTTCTAATTTTTTTTTTTGAAAGGTGAAGAGTCATGTAATTCCCTACACAAAAAAAATGGTGGATCAAATAAAGTCCTACTGATGAGTTTTGAGTTTTCTGTGCAGCATGGTGCTGCATATTTTAATGTCCATTTCTTTCAGCATCTCATTTTCTTTTACAATCTCTTCATATGAATACAATGTATGTCAGAGTGTAAAACCAGGTTACATTCACTCACCCTGTGTCTCTTTGTCTCTCTATTTCTCCTCAGGTGGTGTGAAGTTTGAGAACTATTCCACATACAGACCGCCCCCACCTTACCATGCCTTTGTCCTTCAGTTCATCTCGCCTTTTCCCCTTCTCCTTCATTTCCTTGATCCTCCCCGTCCTCCTCCTGTCTTTCTCCATCCCTTCTCAAGCTGACTCCCAAGATGTAGCCCAGTCTACCTCCAACTGTTCTTATAATGTCGTGTGTGCAGAGGGGGTCCTTTTACCAGTGTGGAATCCCCAGAATCCCTCAGTTGGTGACAAAGTGGCCCGTGCCATTGTGTACCTAGTGGCACTAGTCTACATGTTCTTAGGTATGTCAATAATTGCTGACCGCTTCATGACTGCCATCGAAGTTATAACTTCTCAAGAAAAGGAGATCACTACAAAGAGACCCAATGGTGAAACGGTCACCACGACAGTTCGCATATGGAATGAGACTGTCTCCAATCTGACCCTCATGGCTCTGGGTTCCTCAGCGCCTGAGATTTTGCTTTCAGTCATTGAGGTCTGTGGGCACAATTTTGAGGCTGGTACTCTTGGTCCCAACACCATCGTGGGAAGTGCCGCCTTCAACATGTTTGTGATCATTAGCATCTGTGTCTATGTGGTACCTGAAGGTGAAAGACGGAAGGTCAAACATCTTCGGGTGTTTTTTGTGACTGCGGCATGGAGCATATTTGCCTACATCTGGCTCTATCTTATCCTCTCTGTGTTCTCGCCTGGTGAGGTGGAAGTGTGGGAAGCAGTGCTGACATTCCTCTTCTTCCCTCTCTGCGTGGTCCAGGCCTGGATTGCTGATCGACAATTGCTCTTTTACAAGTATGCTCACAAACGGTACCGAACAGATAAGGGCCGTGGAATTATTGTGTCCGAGGGCGGTGAGGAGGTTGGGAAGGAGGTGGGATTCACAAAGATGGACATGCTGGAAATTGATGGAATCACAACACATCTGGATGGAATGTTGGGAGGGGAAAGTGGGCTTGGTGGACGTGATCAAGAGGAGGGGGCCAGGAGAGAAATGGCCAAAACTCTGAAAGAACTGAAGCAAAGACATCCTGACAAAGACATGGAGCAGCTCATAGAGATGGCCAACTATCAGGTATAAAAAATAATTACATTTTTAACACATTTAGTTTTTAAATGTAATTACTTAATAATTTATAACATTTATATGATTTATTTTCTACAATTTTGAATTATATAAAAAATGTATTGTTATAATGTATTATTTTAAATATTATGGGTTTCTAACTTTCTCTTGAATGTTAAGGAGTGATGATATGCTTAATGCTGATCAAATCAGACCTGTGGGCTGTTTCTCATTTGTGACTTACTAGAACTGACTGATCAAGGGAGTTTTCTGTGCAGCATGGGACATCATTTTTAAAAATATTAAATTAAAACTCTCTGTTCTCGTTGTCTTAGGATTTAAGTTTTCACAAAACATGCACAAAAACATTTGCATTAAAACTCCTTTAAACTCTATAGATGTAACCTGAAGTTCCATTTGTTGCAGACCTTTAAACCTGCTTTGTAACACTTTCTGACTTTCTCAGTTTGTGTAAATACACTTGGGGTTCAGAGTATTTCTTTCTTCCTCTTCTGTTTTCACATTAATTTCACAAGTCTAGTACAAATATGTGGTCTTGTTTCATTAATACAGTGTACTTTTTTCTTTATTTACCCCAAAATATGAAAATTAAATATGAAACATGCCCCATAGGCGGGGCACTTTGTAACATGTGAGGAGCACATTGTAACAACCATATAGCAGATAAAACATTTAACTGATCTATTAAAAGAATTCTATAAAATACAATGATTGACTTTTTAATATAAAATAATTGCACTTTTTAATAATTAAAATATAAAAATTTTGGAGTTTGACATTAAATAGAAAACAAAACACAACTATACACCATAGAAACAATGTGGGCAGATTTAGAAACACATCCAGACATTCAGAAAATCACAGAAGTGAACACAACACACCCCTCCCGCCACACACAGCTCTCAGAACATGAAACAAATAAACGAGCCATTGAGAATGCTTTAAATTTCACGTGTTTATCATGGTGTCTCAACATAATTCATAAAATTGTTTATGCTATTATCACATTGCTAACATCATGGAATAACATATTATTATTATTATTATTATTATTAATCCCAATATTATTGAGATTTAAATTCAGTCTTCTACTAGTTAGATAAGCATTAATAAAGAACTAACTAACATCATGGAATAACATATTATTATTATTATTATTATTATTATTATTATTATTAATCCCAATATTATTGAGATTTAAATTCAGTCTTCTACTAGTTAGATAAGCATTAATAAAGAACTATCAAACCTGTTAAATAACAGATTGGAGATTAAAATAATAGCAGTTTTGTCATGCTACCATGTGTGGAAACTTTTAAACCGTGTGTTACAACTAACCCTGCGTTAGGTTATGCCCCCCTCTCCCCTGCTCTCCCAGTTTAGCATGCAGAGACAATTGTAAGTTGATTTCCCCCAAAAATATAAAAACTGTCTCTCCGCTGTTTTAAACATTGTTTGTTATGTTATGTTTGAGTATAGTATATGTACATGCACTTTAAAAGTTAGATTTCAGCCGGACTTTAACAAATGTAGTGTTTTAAATGTCGTGTAAATGTTTTAGTTCAAAATGAAATCACACCAGTACATTTTGTTGTAAAGTTGTACTAACATACTGTACTTAAATAATGAGGTCGTAGCATTATACACAATAGTCAGCCAGTCAAATGAAGACTGTAGCTTATTGGCTATATTTTCATTGACTCAATGGTGTGAGTTTGGATGCACAAGTACCTGTTTATCCAAACGGGAAAACAGGGGAATTGTTTTGGAAACCTCTTTCCATTTTCCAATTCCATTTATTGCAGATTGTAGCTATTTTACAGCTTTAGAAATCGATCTGCAACTAAACTGCAAATTAAAAAAAAAAACACTTTCCCAACCTTCACTTTGCAGGTTCTAATACAGCAGCAGAAGAGCAGAGCTTTCTACCGCATTCAGGCGACAAGGATGATGATTGGTGCTGGGAACATCTTGAAGAAACACGCAGCGGATCAGGCACGTAAAGTGGTCAGCAGTGGGGAACCTCGGGAGCAAGAGGATGACCCTCTTGTTACAAGAATAGACTTTGAACCTGCCCTCTACCAGTGCTTTGAGAACTGTGGGTCCTTAAAACTTACTGTGCAAAGGCATGGAGGAGATGCTGGGTGTACTATTAAGGTGAGTTTAAAGTCAAATGCTCATTAGTTTATTCATTTTAATAGGGAATAGGATACTTTTAAACCTATTGTCTGATCTTGACTGATGGAAATAATGGAACAGATTTTTGTCTGTTTATTTAATGAGAACAAGAAAGATCTTTGGTCTTTCTAAATGTTTATTCATGCACAACTCCAGGTGGACTACCACACAGAAGATGGCACAGCCAATGCCGGTTCTGACTACGAATTTGCTGAGGGCACACTCGTATTCAAACCTGGCGAGAACATTAAAGAGATCACCGTCGGCATTATTGATGATGACATCTTTGAGGAAGATGAATACTTCTATGTCTGCCTGAGCAATCCCCGTATAGTCGGGTGGGCTGATGGACATCCTATTACTTTGGAGACTGGAGCACCTGCTCCAAGCGCAGCCCTTGGTGAGGCCCACACAGCGACTGTGACAATCTACGATGACGACCACGCAGGAATTTTCACATTCGAAAGCGAATCGGTGCGAGTTAGTGAAAGCATCGGCATCATGCAGGTTAAGGTCCTGAGGACATCAGGAGCACGTGGTCTGGTGGCGGTACCGTACCATACAGTGGATGCGACAGCTTGCGGAGGGGAAGACTTTGAGGAAGTGTCTGGAAAACTGGAGTTCCAGAACGACGAGACAATGTAAGAGGTTTCTGTCAGCTAATGCCTTTTTATGTGTGAGAATGTGTGTATCTGTGTTCTACTGCCTTTATTTAGCTCTTTCTGTCCAAGGATTGTCCTGCTTGAGTGAACCTTCACAATGAAAATGCTTTTAGACCTGCAGTAAAGTTATTAGATTGTGTGTTTGGATTTCTCAGGCATGTCAGACAGCTTATTTCACGGCAAAGGGAAGGGCTACAAGAATTTAATTTGAAAGAACACAGTGTCACAAAAATATGAATACATTGTGATTTTGTTCTTCATTTACATTTTAGGGACTTAATGTCAAGAACATTCCACATATTTGTTGCCAATGTGGTAAAGACGAGCAGATGTTTTCTTTATACGGATGGTACTGTATGTCTTTATCCAGTTTCACACGCACACTGCATCTTTGTCACATGAGTGGCAGCCATATTGACGGGTTACAGCACTCTCACCTATGCGTGCTGTGAACCCGCTGTTGCAGTTATATTCACGCGCAGCAGTGATATGAAACAGGCCTTTCGTAACGATTGTGTGTAAAGATGTGCTATACAGTGCATTAATTATAAGACTGAAGAAGTCCTTTTTTTGTTTTTGTAGTATGTTGGGGATATATGTACAGTGGGTTTGGCAGTTTGATATGCCTCAGGCTTGTGAGGTGTAAACTCTATAAAATAGTGGGTGAAAGGGAAATTAAAGTGTTCAGGTAATGGTTGTGTAAGTCTACAGCTAACAAAATGCTTATGCTGTGTCCTTGTGAGGTGACCTCTTTCTGTGAGTCCATTTAAAATCAAGGTAATGCTGGTAAATGTCTTTAGGCTATGTATGATTGTTGGCTTCATATTGAGTAAGCTTGGAATAATGTGTAATGCATTTTCAACTGTGTCTTTGTTTAACTTTTGTGTCATTCAAGCTAGACATTTGTCGCTGAAGCTAATATAATATTAGTTTTCCAAAATGAATATAAGAGAAATTGTGATAGTCCTTCAGTCCCAGAAGCAAAAGTAAAAAGATAACTACATTTTCTGAGATAGATAGATAGATAGATAGATAGATAGATAGATAGATAGAGATTGATTGATTGATTGATTGATTGACATATATTGAGATATATATTAACATAATTACTAAAGGTTCACTCCAAAAATATTTAGGGCTTAGGAACAAATGTAATTATTTATGAATCAACCATTGAAAAGAAAAATGGGTGGTTATAATTATTGTCCTGCTTTGAATTCAGAGAGATCAGCCATGAGCAGAGGACAAATCGAATAGCTTATATCATTTTTGATACGGTTGGTCTCTGTTGATTTACTATCCAATAAGGCTTCACAACAGGGACACACAGCAAGCAGACCTACAACAAAATGAAACCGAAAACACTGCCACAAAATGAAGTACACACACACAGAGCAGACTAACACTCACACATCATGGGGTCTGTGATGGACAGAGGAGGGCTGGAGATAATCAGCAATATTCTGTATTTCAGCTTTGATGCACTCCCCTCTTGCTGAATCTCTGCTTCCCTGACACCTGTCTCACTATCTCTCCCTTCTTTCAGTCCACAATCTTCCCTCTTTCTTCTCCTTTTCAATTCAGCTCACTCTTACTCTCGTTCCAGCTGGAAAAAATATGTCATACCAGCTTAACCCTCATAAAAGTAATGATAATGATTTAAAAAATAACCTTTTATTTCACCTTTAAATTTTAATGTTCATCTGTTCATCACCCCGTAGACAGACATTATTGAAGCTTTATCTCTCTATTTAACCACAGAGTAGGCAGTGTTTTTTACCGGAGCAAAAACACATAGTAGAAAAATTCCATGAAAGAAATTAAAGGGGTCATATGACGTTGCTAAAAAAGAACATTTTTTTGTGTATTTGGTGTAATGAAATGTGTTTATGCGGTTTAAGGTAAAAAAAAAACATTATTTTCCACATACTGTACATTATTGTTTCTCCTCTATGCCCCGCCTTTCTGAAACGCGTCGATTTTTACAAAGCTCATCGTTCTGAAAAGTGAGGTGTGCTCTGATTGGCCAGCTATCCAGCGAATTTGGCCGAATACCTCAAGCGTGTGACGTAAACATAAAACCATGTCTGCATTTGTGATCGGAGAAATGACAAACTACTAGCACTGCTCTACACTGCTCAAAACTCGCGTTTGAATCATCAGTGGCAAATCCTTTAAATATGAAAACGAACTTACAGGCTGTGAATCAGCATTATTTGTCAGAACACCGGCATTGTAGGCTACTCTCCCAGATGTTTTCTTTATATACGGATGGTACTGTATGTCTTTATCCAGTTTCACACGCACACTGCATCTTTGTCACATGAGTGGCAGCCATATTGACGGGTTACAGCACTCTCGCCTATGCGTGCTGTGAACCCACTGTTGCAGTTATATTCACGCGCAACAGTGAAATGAAACAGGCCTTTCGTAATGATTGTGTGTACAGATGTGCTATACAGTGCATTAATTATAAGACTGAAGAAGTCCATTTTTTTTGTAGTATGTTGGGGATATGTACAGTGGGTTTGGCAGTTTGATATGCCTCAGGCTTGTGAGGTGTAAACTCTATAAAATAGTGGGTGAAAGGGAAATTAAAGTGTTCAGGTAATGGTTGTGTAAGTCTACAGCTAACAAAATGCTTATGCTGTGTCCTTGTGAGGTGACCTCTTTCTGTGAGTCCATTTAAAATCAAGGTAATGCTGGTAAATGTCTTTAGGCTATGTATGATTGTTGGCTTCATATTGAGTAAGCTTGGAATAATGTGTAATGCATTTTCAACTGTCTTTGTTTAACTTTTGTGTCATTCAAGCTAGACATTTGTCGCTGAAGCTAATATAATATTAGTTTTCCAAAATGAATATAAGAGAAATTGTGATAGTCCTTCAGTCCCAGAAGCAAAAATAAAAAGATAACTACATTTTCTGAGATAGATAGATATTGATTGATTGATTGATTGATTGATTGACATATATTGAGATATATATTAACATAATTACTAAAGGTTCACTCCAAAAATATTTAGGGCTTAGGAACAAATGTAATTATTTATGAATCAACCATTGAAAAGAAAAATGGGTGGTTATAATTATTGTCCTGCTTTGAATTCAGAGAGATCAGCCATGAGGAGAGGACAGATCGAATAGCTTATATCATTTTTGATACGGTTGGTCTCTGTTGATTTACTATCCAATAAGGCTTCACAACAGGGACACACAGCAAGCAGACCTACAACAAAATGAAACCGAAAACACTGCCACAAAATGAAGTACACACACACAGAGCAGACTAACACTCACACATCATGGGGTCTGTGATGGACAGAGGAGGGCTGGAGATAATCAGCAATATTCTGTATTTCAGCTTTGATGCACTCCCCTCTTGCTGAATCTCTGCTTCCCTGACACCTGTCTCACTATCTCTCCCTTCTTTCAGTCCACAATCTTCCCTCTTTCTTCTCCTTTTCAATTCAGCTCACTCTTACTCTCGTTCCTGCTGGAAAAAATATGTCCTACCAGCTTAACCCTCATAAAAGTAATGATAATGATTTCAAAAATAGCCTTTTATTTCACCTTTAAATTTTAATGTTCATCTGTTCATCACCCCGTAGACAGACATTATTGAGGCTTTATCTCTCTATTTAAACACAAAGTAGGCAGTGTTTTTTACTGGAGCAAAAACACGTAGTAGAAAAATTAAATGAAAGAAATTAAAGGGGTCATATGACGTTGCTAAAAAAGAACATTATTTTGTGTATTTGGTGTAATGAAATGTGTTTA